TAATAATTTCTAATTAATTTAATTGAAGTTACATTGTTTGGAATTTTTTTGGAAAAGTTTGATTATTTTAGAAATATTGTTTAGAAGGATCGTGGTAAGTATAATCCAAAATTTATTAGGAACTGATAGGGCAACAATTAATATTTCTAATTAATTTAATTACAGTAAAATGTTTTGAAAAATTTTAGAAACATTGATTCCAAGGATCGTGGCAAGTATAATGCAAAATTCAAAAACCCATAATATAAGACACTTAAAAATTAATATTTTCTAATTAATTTAATTAAAGTTCCATTGTTTGGAATTTTTTTGGAAAAGTTTGATTATTTTAGAAATATTGTTTAAAAGGATCGTGGCAAGTATAATCCAAAATTTTGGAACTGATAGGGCAACAATTAATATTTTCTAATTAATTTAATTACAGTAAAATGTTTTGAAAAATTTTAGAAACATTAATTAGAAATTTTAGAAATATTGGCAAGTATAATGCAAAATTTAAAAACCCATAGCACAAGACACTTAAAAATTAATATTTTCTAATTAATGTAATTAAAATTTAATTTCTCTGGAAATTTTTTTAAAAAAGTTTGATAATTCTATAAATATTAATTAGAAGAATCGTGGCAGGTATGATGCAAAATTTAAAAACTCGTAGCATAAAACACTCAAAAATTAATAATATTTTTTAATTAATTTAATTAGAAATTAAATTTCAATTTTTTGGAAAAGTCTTGATATTGATTTCTGAATAAACGCTCACCATAATCGACGCTCCCTTTTCTCCAGGTGGTCCTCGCGGACCTGGTAAACCTGGCGGACCATCAAATCCACGGGGACCTGTTGGTCCTGGGAATCCTGTGATCCCCGGTTCCCCTTTCGCACCTTTTTCTCCTGGCAAACCTTCTGGACCAGGAATACCAGGTAAACCTGGCCCTCCCGCAGGTCCTATGGGTCCTCTTGGGCCTGGATCTCCCGGATATCCATCGGCACCGCGTGGTCCAATGGGACCTGGAAAACCTTGAGGTCCTTTTGGTCCTGGTGGTCCTGGCGTACCTTTACCACCCTGTAATTTGTCATTAGAAGCAAAGATTAATTAATCTCAGCCCTTCACAACTCGTTATTTTGGAATTTTTAAGATCGAAGCTTCTAGCTGTAGATTATAAATTTTAGAAGATTTCAATTTTTAAATTTTAGTAGATTTTAATTCTGAAATTGTTAGATTTTAATTTTTAGTCAAAATCTTAGTAGATTTTAATTTTTAACATCAAAGCTTTCAGCTGTAGATTCTAAATTTTAGAATATTTCAATTTTTAAATTTTAGTGGATTTTAATTCTAAAATTTGTACTCGTTAGAAGATAAGATTAATTAAACTGAGCCTTTCACAACTCGTTGTTATGGAATTTTCAAGATCAAAGCTTCCAGCTGTCGAAGATTTTAATTCTAAAATTTTAGTAGATCTTAATTTTGAAATTTGTACTCATTTCAGAGCAATAGCGATCGATGTTTACGATACTTACCCCAGGTGGGCCAGGAGGTCCTCGCAAGCCTGGAACACCCATAGATCCATCTCGACCTGGCTCTCCTTTCAGTCCTGGGCGACCAGGGAGACCATCCAGACCATCGTAGCCTCGATCACCTTTACGTCCAGGTGGACCTGGAGGCCCGGAGAAACCGTCCCTACCCTGGATATTAAACGTTGAACGTTCAAATTAATCGACGTCGTTTCTACATCTTTATTGTGCTAAAAATTGATGCATACGTACACGAATACCCGGTGCACCTGGAAGACCCTTCTCTCCTTTCATACCCGAGTTACCAGGAATACCGTGGTCTCCAAGTGGTCCCGGTTCTCCCTTTTGTCCATCTGGACCTCTTTCACCCTATCATTGTAAAATCAAGTGAAGTACAATTAATGATATGCAATAATAATATAAAATATTGTTATAATATTAATACAAATAATTTATTAACTGTTAAATAATATTAAGTAATTATTAAATATTAATGTTAATAATAATATTGTATTTACATATATATTAATTTAATAATACTAAATTAATAATTACTTATAAATTATTAAATAATATTAAATAATTAATGAATATTAATGTTAACAATAATATTTACATATATATTAATTTAATAATAAACTAATAATTACTTATTAATTATTAAATATTATTTAATAATTAATAGATATTAATATTAACAATAATATTGTATTTACATATACTATATACTATTAATTTAATAATAATAAATTAATAGTAATTGTGTATTTTATACATATTTTATATATATCTTACAACTTACGTATTTTTACAAATTTGCAACTTTCTAAGAGACTGCGAGGTGAAATTTCGAATATTTAAAGGACAGATACCTTGTCCCCTTTCTCGCCGCGATCTCCCTGCGGACCCGTTACTTCTTCTGGCTTCCCAAGTATTTCCTGGGGTCCAGGAGTTCCAGGAGGTCCTGCCTCTCCCTTCTGGCCTTTATCACCCTTCGGACCCTCGAACGCGAGGCCCATGTTTCCCTTTTCTCCTTTTTGCCCCTGTAGTCCAAGTGGCCCCTGAAAGCACAACGGTAACGAATATTCTGAATCTTTGTCATGAATTCATTTCTTTAATGATTCATTTCATTAATGAACGTGAAGATTTAATGTACGATAATACGGATGGTGACTTACGTAAGGTCCACGATCGCCCTTTGGCCCAGGAAATCCATGCTCTCCCTGTGGACCTGGTGGACCCGGAGGCCCTCTGACTCCGTCTATACCTGGCTCTCCCTTCTGACCAACAGGGAACCTGCCGGCGAATCCCGGCTGACCTTTATCTCCCTTGGACCCTCGTGGACCTGGGTAACCACGAGGACCACGCTCTCCGGAACGACCTTTCGGGCCAGGCTCACCCTGGGACAAAAGTCGACGAAAATTCTCAAAATGCTGGTGGTTGTCAATCGGAATTATATTTCGCTAATTCTTCGCCAACGAATTTTCCAAGGAAGTTAATGCAACACATAAATATAGTATAGTATAGTTAGCAGTATTCTGTCCTGGATGATTTATATAATTTTATGTGCTATACTACTATACTACTATTTTGTATATTATGTGCTATGCTACTATACTACTATTTTGTATATTATGTGCTATGCTACTATACTATTATTTTGTATATTATGTGCTATGCTACTATACTACTATTTTGTATATTATGTGCTATGATACTATGCTTTGTGGATATTTTTACACCGTGTACAAATACGACGATAGTAAGATTATTGGCGACATGTGCGTACGTCTGTTCCATTACAATCGTAGAATACTAACTATACTAAATATAGTGTAGTAAAGTATACTATACTTTATTATGTATTTACTATACTTTACTATACTTTACATTACTATATTTACTATATTTTACTATATTTTACGTTACTATATTTACTATACTTTACTATACTACATACAGCATAGTAAAGTAAAGTATACTATATTGTAGTTGCTAAATATAGTAGTTAATGCTACTATACTAAATATAGTATTCTATCCTGGATAATTTATATATTTTTGTGTATTATGTTTTTTGTAAATATTTTTACAGCGTGTACAAATACGACAATAGTAAGATTGGCGATATGTGTGTACATCTGTTCCATTACAATCGTAGAATACTAACTATACTAAATATAGTGTAGTAAAGTATACTATACTTTACTTTACTTTATTATATATTTACTATACTTTACTATGCTATATGTAGTATATATACTAAATATAGTAGTATTCTATCCTGAATAATTTATATATTTTTGAATATTATATTCTTTGTGGATATTTTTACACCAAATACGACGATAGTATGATTATTTGCGACATGTGCGTACGTCTGTTCCATTACAACCGTCACGGCCAGGAAGACCAGGTGATCCAGGTGGTCCTTGAACTCCAGGCACACCACTTACACCGGTGAATCCCGGTAAACCCATTTTACCCTGCAGAAAATAATTATTAATCGTGTATTAATATAAATATATATATATTAATACACATATAAAAATTTATACGTACTCTGTCACCTTTCGGGCCACGTGGTCCCTGAGGACCAGGATCACCTTTTTCTCCCTCCGGTCCCAAAAGACCTTCCGTTCCAGGGAATCCCTTTTGACCTTTCGGACCTTGCGGTCCCATTACACCCGGTGGCCCCTGTACACGTAAATCAAAATAATTTATATTATTTTTGTTTCAGCACTCAGGCCTACTATTTCAATAAAATAATATTATCATTTTATATTAATATATTATATTTATATTATATTAATATATTATATTTATATTATATTAATATATTATATTTTATATTTTTCAATATTAATATATTATATTTATATTATATTAATATATTATATTTTATATTTTTCTATATTAATATATTATATATATTATATTTTATATCGTTCTATATTTATATTATATTAATATATTATATTTTATATTATTCTATATTAATATACTATATTTATATTATATTAATATATAATATATTTTATATTATTCTATATTAATATATTATATTAATATTATATTAATATATTGTATTTTATATTGTTTATTATAAAATGTACAGTCGCTAAACTAAAATGGCGGCCGTTTAATCTAAATCTTCTTCAAACTGTAACACACAAAAACGCACAGAATACACAAGTATAATAAATACAATAAATTTTACACACTCGTGCATTTATGTATTTATGCATTACAATCCCAAAAAAAGATTTCGAAGTATAAGAATTCTAATTTAAGGACGATAAAGATTTTTAATTAAAATCAGATATAATCCAGGAAATATTTACTCTGGAGCCCTTCTCCGCGAAACATTTCGGCACGCAGCAACCCGACCCGTTACACTTGCCAGCGTATCCTGGTGCTGGCACGACCGTGTAACTGCTCGGGTAATTCTCCGAATCGCCGGCCGCGCCGTATCCTCCATGTTGGCCGTGTTGAGGATATTCTCCGCGTTGCCCGCTGGGATCTTCGCGGCCGTAATCGTCCCTGCCTCCATAACTTCCTCTGTACCCGTCGCCGTAAGGATCTCTAGAGCTTTGTTCTCCTCCGCCGTAGTTATCGTCATAACCCCGGGATCTTCCGTAAGGATCTCTGCCGGCTTCCTGATTGTAAGGATCCAACGGGACTTGCCCCTGTCCGTGATTGTACGATCCTTGATCCAAGCCGCCTGCGAAACGAAGATTACTCGTGGGCAGACGAAAACTGTCGTCGGGATTCGAATGAATTGGAATTAGACGATAACGCCATTGTGCGGTGCTAGCTCGAATTTGCGATGGGATCGTCGCTTCATCTTCGACCAGTATCGACAATTCATTTGACAGACCGAGGATGAATTCGAGTGAATATGCGAAATTGCGAATGAGAAAGGAGATTCTGCGAACGAGCAAGTTAAACGGGAGAATCATTAGGAACGAAGAAAAGGAAACGAAGTAAAGGATCAGGTATCAATTAATTTTTGAAAAATGCGACAATATGAAACTTCATATTTTGACGTTGAATTAAACGAATAATTTTAACCAGAGATTATAATGAGAGATCATGTTCCATCCCCCGAAAAGAAAAAAAAAAAAAAACACGAAATGAAATAACCATTACATAGTAATTACGGAATTGACGGACGAGAAATGAATAAAATAGAACATCGAAAATAAAATTTTTTTTCGTTATTCTCCGCAATTTGATAAATTCACGACGCAACGTCTGCTGCTTAGTTGGTTCTTATTTCGTTCCTGTGTTAAACCGATCCGCACGAAAGTTCGGGAGACCTGGATTTCATTGGCTTCTCAAAATTCAATTTTCTATTCAGCCTGTTAAATTTTATGGAACACCATAAACTTGCGCGCGCAACAATACACCGCTAGCGTTATCGATTAATAGGAAACTATTACACAACGCTGTAAAGACAAAAGATAAACGGTCTCGTTAATTAGCTGGCCGAAGTTGAATTCGTAAATCTCGGAATATTGCGAGGGAACCGTTCCAGCGATTAATTATACAACGATCAGTCGTCGTGCAAGCAGTATCAGTAGTTTCGTTGGTTTCTCAAATCTTAATATCACGCTGTAATTAAACATTTCTCTAGCAAATTGAGATGTTAATAATCGTATAATAACTGTATGATTTTCATAAATATTGTCAAATTGTTTGGATATATTTCTGTCGAAATTCATTTTGATTTCTTCGCTTAAACGAAAACAATTCGTATAGATCAGTAGTTTCGTTGGTTTTTCAAATCTTAATATCACGCTGTAATTAAACATTTCTCTAGTAAATTGAGATGTTAATAATCGTATAATAACTGTATGATTTTCATAAATATTGTCAAATTGTTTGGATATATTTCTGTCGAAATTCATTTTGATTTCTTCGCTTAAACGAAAACAATTCGTATAGATCGTTTTAATTATGATACGTGATTGGAAGCTAATTGTTGTAATGTTGAAGGGTCCGAACAAAATAACATGACGATTGCCACTAATTTCCATCTTTAATTTAGATCTCGAGAAAAATGTGTCTCCATCTTATGATATCTAGCTTGACAAAGAATTTTGGTTCACACTTGTGACGACAAACCAAAAAAATCTTTCTCGAACTGTTATAAAATGACCGACACGCCGCTAATTTATCAGAATTAATCGAATTTATATTTATTACCATAAGAGTCGTCGGTTCTTTGGCCATACTCGTCGCCATCGGGGTATCGATCATCGTAATTTTGGCTTTGATTATTTAAGTACCGCCTATCTTCCTCAGAACCTGCGAAATAGAACACAAAGGAATCAAGTGTTGTCTCGACACTCGATTATTGAAAATGTCGGATGCGATTAAATCGATTAAACGAGATTACCTTCGTTGTAGAAAGCTTTCCATCGCGGTGAAATATTATAATCGTCGTCGTTACTTTTTGGTATATCACCTCGTCCAAGTGGAACAACGGGCGGAGGGTTGTACGACCATGACGTGTGATTGTATTGCTGGAAAAAAAAAGAAAACACAAAGTGAGATAGATAATATATATTTTATGAAAGAACATACAATGAAATAAAACATTCATATATTAAATGTCATTATAATATTATATTATTATAACAATTATTATATATATTATAATATTAATATTATATATAATTATAATATTATACATTATATTATATTGTTATAACAATTATTATATATATTATAATATATTATAATATTACATATTATATTATATTATTATAACAATTATTATATACTATATTATTATACTATTATAATAAAATATTGTATATTAAAATATATAACAAACGAAATAATGAAATTTTCAATTGTACTTGAAACAATATTAATTTAAACGTAGCTGATATAAAAACCGGAATTGAAATTGAAATTTCATGATCAAACGAACGCGGCTAGCTATTTGATCGATAGTCGATACAAAGATGCGTGATAAATGTATCGACTGAGATCTAGATCTCGCAGGCCTGACAGATCTATGGACGACTTTATCGACGGAGCAGGTCAGTCGGAAAATTTTCGAGAAATTACTTACGAAAAATGAAAACAACAACTATACATACATTGCAACGTAATTACAATAATAACTATATCGTGATTATATATTACATATATTACAGAGAGAAATTGATAATAACTGATAGTAAACTTTGCACGGAAAGTAATTAGATTTAGGTTAAGTTTAGGTAGGCAAGTAAAACGTTCGTTTTGAATTGTAATTCTACAAGTAAAAAAAAGTTACAAAATAAAAGGCAACTTGACGATTAAAATAAACGCCGCGTTAACGTGTCCGCGCCAGAATAAAAGAAAAGCGTGGCTAAGCACATGTATCAAATACATACTTGGATATAAAGATTAAAAGTGTTTTCAAGGGTGTCTTCTTACACCTTAATACTTCTGAGGTTGCATCAACTTCGATAAGTTATCAACTATGCTCCTTGCCTGACGGGACACACTTTACATTTAATTCATGAAATTTGGGCAGTTCACAGCTTTATAAATGCGCAAATCGTGCAGTTAATTCACTTGGAACGCGCGATTTTACATCGAACTACAAAATTAAAACTACCAGATAATAATAATTCCTGTTGAAAATTTGTTTCAATATGGACGAGATACGGCAATTTTTGCCGTTTTGTATTCACTCAGTTTAAAATTTCGACAAAGTTAACATGCAAATCTATTGAAATTGAACGTCAGCGTGTGGTATATACAGCAGAATTATATTTATTAAATTTTAGTCCAAATTCTACTTGAGTAAATCAGTTCTCGTTGGCTGAATCCACTTATTCGAACTTGAATTCAAATTTGCGCGGACGAAAAATTACCGAAAAAAAGGGAGGGAAAAACAGCAAACTTCTATCATACGAATCTCAATTGTATAAAACTACTCGTCTTCAAGGTTGGTATAAACGAATTTTCACCAGAGTGTGTCTTGCTGAGTGAAGACTATAGAGCGAAGACGTATGTACATTGTGCACGATTTATTATCACGAGTTTAGTTCTAAATAAATACCTGTAAATACGTATATTTTTTTTAAAAACATAAACGAACGTTTCTATCGCGGTGTTTCTCAATGCGCGAGCATCGATTTCTCCAATCTCGATCGGCGATCTAGCCCCACGTTCTACGTACAAACGACCACAGTACACAAATCAGCTCGATTCGGTCGATGCGTCATCGCGTTCGCGGAAAGTCATTGTCTTGCCCTCGTTTTCACGATTTATCCTTTTTAAGTTTCGGGACGGCGCGCGCTGACAGGAAGCGCGGGGAGATAGCGCCGTGCTCGTTATCGTTTCGAAATGACGCGCCGCGTTGTGCACGCTGCTCCTCTTCTATTCGATTCCGACTCTGGCCGCGCGTCACCGACATTTTCCTCGAAAAAAAGCTGAATGAAACTACAGGCTTTATCGAAAAAAAACGACAGATAATCGTGCCACGTCTCGATGAGAAGCATCGAGAAACGACGTGGCCGTTCTTTGACGTTTCGTTAATCATCTAAACAGTCGATTACTCTATTATTCCACTATTCTTCAGTTTAATTGAAGGAAAGTTCTCCAAAGTTCTTCTTCTCGCTTCGTGTCGAAAGTATTTGCTTGCTCATTCTCGACAGCAACGATTTTAGCGAGGATTTTATTCACTTATTGCGAAATGCAAGTTTTTCGCGAAAAGTTGCACATCGTGGCGTTACACTCGCGTAAATTTTTCTTCAGCCCCGACTTTTTTAGTCTAATAATACGCAAAGTGATACAGACATCTGGACGGCTGATAATACGATAATTTCCGACGACCTCGCCGCGAGTTAAACGCGAAACTGATTTACTGACATCACTGCTGGAAATATGTACAGGATCAGGCTTTCTTAATTCCGCGTGACGCGGGCATAAAATCTTTATATAATCAAGATTTCTTTTAACGAAATTTTTTTCTGTTTCTTTTTTTTTTTTTTTTTTTTTTTTTCTTTCAGCCAGAGAATTTCGCAAACAGCCGAGTCGAATTTGTGAAAACCGCGGTTGCAATTCAAGATTAACGTCGCTGCCATGAATATAAAATTAAGGCAATTATCGTATGATAATACACTGATCTCCAAACAATGAATCGTAAATGTTACGTAGCGCTACATTGGCTTTCGATTATTCTGTTTAAACTTTAATTCATGCATGGCGAAAGTAAAAAGAAGATTGCCTCCAGTTGATAAATTTGCTGTTGGATTGGCGATAACTTTTTTTCAAAGTGTATCCGTATTGTGAATTCTTAATGAAATCATGCGCGTTAATTTTTCATGAACATCAATTTTCTACTAACAATCCACTGCCACACTTTAGAATTAATTATGTATTAGTCTCCATCAACGTGTAATGGCTCCAAACGATATTCAGAAATTCAGTTTGCCTCGACACATCGCCATACCGCGTGCATTTCATTTTGAACGTGAAAATTTTTGAAATTCTATAGATACAACGTGCGAAATAATAATTAAAAAGTGTCAATCCTCGTCCTCCTCGAATCGAAACGAAATTCAATTTACAATTCTCATCCATTGACGCTTGTAACTATTATATTTATATATAATTAATAATTTATTAATAATAAATGCTGTTCTGTAATGAATTAATAATTATGTTGTACTATAAATATAATTATAATTGCACGATAATAATTTAGAATGATTGCATATTAAATAAATGAATGATATTAAAATATTATTTACGAAATGAATAATATTAAAATATTATTGAGGAAATGAATAATATTAAAATATTATTTACAAAATAAATAGTATTTAAAATATTATTTACGAAATGAATAATATTAAAATATTATTTATAAAATGAATAATATTAAAATATTATTTACAAAATAAATAGTATTAAAATATTATTTACGAAATGAATAATATTAAAATATTATTTACAAAATAAATAGTATTAAAATATTATTTACGAAATGAATAATATTAAAATATTATTTACAAAATAAATAGTATTAAAATATTATTTACGAAATGAATAANTATTAAAATATTATTTACAAAATAAATAGTATTAAAATATTATTTACGAAATGAATAATATTAAAATATTATTTACAAAATGAATAATATTAAAATATTATTTACAAAATGAATAATATTAAAATATCATTAATTTAATAATATTAAATATAATTACACGTTATAATACTTATAACACTTATAGCCGTAGAAACACCAAACTCGAAAACCCGAAAAAAAAAAATGAATTTCTCTGAAGGAGTATTCCAGAAGGTACAATCTCCGTTTCCTCCATTCGAGGCAAAATCGTCCAACCAAATTGTCGTCAACGTCACGCGCATCTCTATTCCCCCGGAGCATCCACGAAAACGGCTCAATCTACACAGCCATTTCGTTCAACGAAGCCAGCCCAATTTTCTTATTCCAGATACGGCGGGGACTATCTTCTCGTGACGGTTCAAGAATCGTCCCTTTTATCGCGTTTCTTGGCCGCCTTCGTGAATCCGCGATTACGTAACCGGCCATCGCGTTCCGACTTGGATCCCCGAACGATCCTTCCTTTCCACCATCCACCTGTTTTTCGTCTCTCCTCTCGCTCTGTTCTTCCATATCCCTGCAGAGAAGCAACTGCCGCAATAACGAGCTCTAATTTTCCCCGACGATCGACTCAGTTTTTCCAAAAATGTTGCTCGTCAATCAACGGTCAAAGAACATTCGTAGTTCACAGTCGTGAGGTTCATATTTGCCTTTATATTCGTAATTTCGTATCGCGAGGTTTGTATTTTCTTTTTCGTCTCATGAAAATCAGTTCGCAGCTGGCAAATTTTGGCCTGTTGTTTTTTGAAATTAGCGCAAGAGCCTTCTTTCATTTGTCGTCTGCTGCAACACGTTCGAACAGCGTGCGTTTCGACGAGGGACGAGTTAATACAGCGTAGGACGAGGCCCGCTAATTCGTTGGTCGGCAATTTTTATAATCTCGTCGGATAACGCGTATTCATGAGAGCCAAGCTGTACATTAATACGATGAAAGGGGACCGAGTGATCAAAACACATGCAACTAGAAATGACTAGATGTTCTCAGGAGTAATTTTGAAAAATTCCAACGACGAATTTTCTCTTAGAAGCGAGAGAACGAAAAGTCAATATAATGAGAATATTTCGAGGTCTGATGTTTTGTGAAATAAAACCACTTCAGGCGCATCAAAATTTCGTAGAAATTTTAATCCGCCCAGATCGTGAATAACAAATCACAAGCGAAGAGAATCCAATTACAGCGAAGAGGCGTAATCGTACTAATGACAATGAAGAAATGTCGATAATTTCAACTGATGTCTGTAAAAGATGATCGTGTGTATAACGATCCACTTGCCCTCATTTTAAGGCCTTCTACAATCACGAGTTCATATTTTTCTTCTGTTTTTTTTTTTAAGATGACTTTGCATCACGTAGCGGGTAGGAAAAATTGTATGAAAACGTTTAAAAAA